AAAAAAAAAAGAATTAGAAGAGTGTAAAGAGGGGGAGGAAGTGGACAAGATGATATTATTAACCTTTAGGCATAAAAACCACTCATACAAGCTTCCAAGATTTTGCAGTTATAAATCTTGAAGAAGTTTATTCCCATTAGTTTTCCACAAAAACAATTTCCACACACAGACACTCCATTTAATACTTGAATTAACAACATTGACAACAAGCTTGCAAATATTCCTCATTAGTCTAATTTTCAAAGTGTAACACTACTTTGACATTTCTGAAGAGTTTGCTTTGTGTTTCCTGGTTTAACTGGTTTAGGTTTGGTTTTTAAAAATAGGACTTACCCCCATAAGAAATTAAAAGCAAAGCAACAACAGACCTTAGCTGTTTTTTCAGAACAGCCATAGAATGATAAGCTTTGGTACTAATTAGAGCAAAACCACTCCCCTCAGATCTCTATTTTGAGCTTACTGTATGAAACCCTCCACCTTCAAAAAAATACAGAAAAATCAATTTAAAAGTTCTACAAATACTTACAATTTACAAACAGAAAAACTCATTTCAGACCATACTTACTTGCACCATGAGTGAGCAAGCCAATTCAATCCATTTAACTGATAATCTCTTAACTCTAAACTTTCATGTCCTCCAATGTAAGAAGGTTGCTTCTTTAGTGTAACAAACCTTGGCCTCTGTTTTAGAACCTGTCAAAAGTAAATTGATCATCAGTCCTATTACTGACTGCAGTTACCAAAATGTCTTCCTATAGAAAAAATAGCAGTAGGGATCTACTGGGTCATCATTGACGAAAACTAGGCCATATAAAAACACCAAACAATTTATAAGTTGAAATTAGTTTGATTAGTAATCTAAATTTCACAATGGGAGTGACATTAACTCATTTGAGGTTTACTTTTAAAATAAACTACAATACTAAACAAGCCAATCTTTGAATGCCAGTTGAAAAGCAGGGGAATGATATCTACACCAAACTACTTTTAGTAGAGATATTTTCCATATATATTACTATATATACTACTATTCTGAACAATTTTCAAAAATATTTCATAGTATGCATCTCTGGATTCATAGAAGATTCACATTTTTACCATCACAGCTGACATGGTGGCTTGAACCTGGCCGGCTCTTAAGCCACCACCCAGTTGCTCACTCGCTCCCTACCCCAGCAGGATGGGAAAGAATTGAAAGGGCAAAAGTGAGAAAAAGTTGTAGGTCAAAATAAAAAGTTTACTCGGTGAAAGAAAAAACCCAACCAATCAAAACAAAAACCCACAAGTGACAGAAAGGGAGTCACACATTAACTCACCAGCACACTGATGACCAGCAAGTCTCCAAGCAACAGCCTCCTTTGAACCCTCTGCTCAGCCCACCCTGTTATATCGCTGAGCATGACATTAAATGGCACGGAGTATGTCTTCAGTTAGTTGGAGTCAGCTGTGTTCCCTCCAGCCCCTTGCCCACTCCCAGCCTACTCATGGCAGGAAGGGCACAGCAAGAAATGGAGAAGGCCTTCACACTGTGCAAGCACTGTTCAACACACCAATTTTCTGGCTGATGCTATAAACACTGTTTAGGTCCCAAATCTAAAACACGGACCATACAGGCTGCTATGAAGAAAACCAACTCCATCCCAGCCAGACCCAGTACAACTGATTATAAATCCATTGTAAATTACATACTCACCTTGCAATCCTTAAAGGGAGTGGTCTTGGACTGATTTCTGCTAAAATACTCATCAATGCGTGCCTGAAACTTTTTGGCAATGAGAGCACCATCTTCCCAGCTACATTCTGAGTAAGGCAGACCCTGCCATTTGCAATAGTAGTCTGGATAACCAGCCGCTGATTTCTGATTTGAATGAGCTGCAGAAATACACCAGAGATATCTGATCAGCATTTTACTTCTGTATCTTATGAAAACACTTGTTTTAGGCAATAATACAACATAAGTTATCTTCATAGCACAGACATTATGACAACTTCTCTCTTTACCTGAAGTTTTGGTTTGGATTAAAAAGTTAGTGATGCTAACATTCTAAATTTCTTAACTACAAATGCAACATATAAGCAGTGAACGTACAGAATTCTAAACACTGTTTTCTGTCTGCAAGGTTGTAACATACCAATTACTCTTTCCACAATCTGATATTGTTTGTGTAGATCATCTGTAAGCTCCTGCTGGCAGTTGTAATATTCCACATCTTCTGGAGAAGCATTTTTCAGCCTGTAATGGGAATTAATTTACAACACTTAATACACTGTATAGTTCTAAAACTAAGAAAATTTGGCAACTCTAAAGCTCTGAATGTAAGCATCACAGGAATGTTGCTTGGAGAGCTTCTTTGAAAGTACAGCTTAGATATTCCCGCTGCAAAATTGTGGCATCTGGCCTAGGTGCCTCATCATTCATGACTGAGAACACTCATCAAGAGACACAACTCTACAGGTGGTACACTCATGCAGCTAATTCAGAACACTCAATCTGAACAGTAAGTAGTGTACTTTACAGAGTATTTTCATGGAACAGTATTCAGGGTGGCTCACTCTCCAAGAATCCGTCTTATGATTAAGTTGCTAAAAATCCCACCAGTATTCATTGATTGTATTAAACACACCAATAAAACTGAAGACAAGAAAGGTGACTTTAAAAATATGGATTTCTTCAGGTTTTTGTTCTCGGGCTTGAGCCAAGAAAACTGAATCCTTCAAAGTAATCCGAAATGGTTAATGCACCAAGAAAACATTAATCTCTACAGCAATTCCTGAAGAACTCTGATCAAAGTATAACAGTAGTCAGTAAAAGTTACAATTTATTATTTACTTTTAAACACTACCAATCTTATTTAAAGTCTATTTACACACACATTAAAATCATATGATTCTATGAAAATCAGGTCCAGAAAATAATCTTACAGCAATATGTTAAGGAGGCTTCAACTTTTAAAGTTTTTGTCTTCCTGTTGCATAGATACGTCAAATTATGCCCTCAAAAAGAGGTAGCAGGTCTCAAAAACACAAAAGAACATCTACATTGTTACTAAATTGTTACAAAAGTATTGTGGAAGTCTACATAAAAATATTCACCATCGTTTTGTTTCCTGATCCTTTTTCTTATAGTTGTCCAGTTTCTTCATTCCTTTAACATTTTGTTGCTTCAGTGTTTCCTCAGTTTCCCAAGTGTTATGGATGTGTGACCAACCTTTCCATTTAATAAGATACTGTATTTCTCCTGGCTCCTTTGACTTTTCAAACCCAGCATTTGGGTCACCATCTGCCTCAACTGCATAGATGGTGGTTGCAGCACCCGTGGCTGAGAAAGAAACCACATCGTAAGCTTTAATTAAGTGTGCATTGTCATAAGTTAGCCTATAAGAAATGTAGTGTAGAAAGCATTCAGTGATAATTTTAGATGAGCACGTACTTGACTAGTATCTACAGCTCTCATGTCATTACTCTTATTTGAACAATTATGACGTAGATATGCTAACACATGCACAAGTAGTCAGAATCAAAAAAGCAAGCCAAACTTCTGCATCTAACCTACAATATTGTATCTTTTCTCATGAGAATTTTCTTTGCATTCCTAGTTTTTAATGTGATCACCAGGGAATGCTCCACTAATGCTGCTTGTCATCATCTTTGGTATATTACTCTCGACTGAGTATACAAGAGATATCTGACATTATGCTTGGTCAGCCTTTGAGACAGCAATAACCTACTACTAGGGATACTATAAATCTATGTCTCCCTAAACATGTTTTACTACTTTTTCTGCCTTTGTTATCTTACCTGGGAAAATTTTTAATTAAGTACAGTCTGTATCACAGCTGAAGCATGCTAGCAGGAGGAAACGGGCTTATTTCTGTGAGGACAGCCAGGTAAGGAAATGAGCCCAGCAAGCTGCAGGGGCCAGATAAAGCAACAGAAAGTGGCAACAGGAAAAGACAGCACAAGCAGCAACATCATCTGGGCAAGAATAATATAAGAAGCTTAGTTCCAAAGGCTCTGACCACAGCAGTAACACTACGCACTGGAGCAGGATATGCTAGAATTTGGGTCAGCATGGGAGAACAAAGTTAAGAGGAAGAAGAGTGCAAGTTCTGAGATGGGTGAGAAACTTTAGAGATTGGGTATAACTAATGGCGAAAGGTAGCTCTAAAGTGCAAGGAGCCCAGGGTTTGGGGGGTTTTTTGTATGTTTGTTTTCATGATCAGAATCTTAATCTGCAGGCTCAAACACATAAGCAGAACTGCTAGATACTGCATCGCATTATTGCTGGAAATATGACATGCCTACCACTATTCACAAAATACTTTCAAGAGTTCACATGCAAAAGCACCACTGAAATTTTAGACACATTTTGTAGTCAATCCACACACTGCACTTTATTGAGACAAATTGTACAGCAATAACTGAAATCATAACCTCAGTGGTTCAGCCTTGCCAACACCATCTTTCAGTGTTCAAGTTACTAGTCAGCTTTCTTATGTAGTGCACTTTCTCCACTCCACTGTGTATAATTTATACTGATCAAGTATCACTAAACTATACAAACAGTGTTGTAAAAAAAATGGTAGGCATTTATGCAATACGGAGTTATCTTCTACTTCATTTTTATTTTCTACTTAGGTATGCAATTATTCTACATTTTACTTTGCAACACTTAGAAGGGACTTTTAAAAAAAGAACACCCTTATGAATATGAAAGACAAAACAAGAAGACTTTTTGGTAACTTTAAAATTATTGCTGTATATAAACCTCACAGGTGACCTACAAATGATAACATTTGCTGAAGTTGCACCACAATGCACTCCAGGATCTTAAGAATACAAAAAAAAAAAAATTACCTCCTTTTCGGCCAATTCGACTATCCATGAACTTCTCTATAGTTTCAAATTCATCTTCTTCAGTTTGTGGGACATCTTCTCCACAAACTTCCAGCAAATCATCAGAATCTGTCTTGGTTTCTTCAGCTTCTTTGTAACTAATGTTGACTGTTGCCTGGCGACGAGATCCTCTCTTATCATAATCCTCCTCCTCCGATGAATCAAGTTGCCTCTTTTTCAGTCCTGCACTCTTTTTCCCACTTTTTGGCTTAATTCTTGAAGACAGTAAGATACGATACGACAATGATGTTACAACAGGGACAACTTAAGTCTTCTTGTATCGCTTTCTGAATACATTTATTTCATGAATGCTCAGTTGCTCCACTTTCAGTTACAGCAGATAGGAAAAGGTATTCACTAGAAAGCATTAATATAGTAACATCTTCCATAGCTTTGAAAATACTGAAATTATTTTAATAAGCATTAATGCATTCATTTGCATGTACAGTAGTAAATACTCAATTGCTTATTAGAAATAGTACCAGAGTATCCAAATGTATGACTTCCTACCTGCTTGGAGGTTTCCGACTCTTGACCTTGTTTTTTGGCTCATAGTCAGATTCACTCTCTTCACAACTGCTTTTCTCCCTATCTTCCTCTGATTCAGAATCAGAATCAGTTCCTGATACTGACCCTGATTCCGACATTTGCCAGTCTTCACTGTAGATATTGAAAGACAAAAAGAGTAACTTACTTTTTAAAAAAATTTAAAAATCAGGTATTCATCCACAGGTTATCTATGTAATTTCAACATTCCTCACAGAAATAAAAATCTTGTAACAGTTATTTCAGTTGATGAGACAGAAAATTGTCATCAGTGAGTACCAGATAAATAAAAATGCCCAATGGCTTCAAAGGAATTTAGACTAAGTTTTCTGTTACCAAGAGGCAGATTTAAAATCAAAAATAAAACAAAAATCTGGATTTCTATATAAATTTCAGCACGAAGAAATGAGTTAATGTGACATTAAGAAACCAAAGCACTTAACAAGTCTAACCAGAGAGATAGGTATTTATCAGAACTTATATATGCTCAAATCATAAAGCCCTGTCATGTTATACTCTGGAGAGCCCCATATTGTCTAATGCTTACGGTCCCTGTGGCCCATGTGAAGAATCAGCAACTTTGGCACAGGAATCAAAAAAATATAGAGGTAAATTTGAGAAAAGCCCAGAAAACCTTGAATTGTAGCAACCTATGAGTGGCACTGGCTCCCAAAAGCTCCTACATCAGCACTTCACAACCAGCAAGATACTATGAGTAAGACATTTGTGACTGAGCAGCAAGATCTTCTTGTTCCTGCCTAGCTGAGATCTACTTTGCAACAGGACTGATGAACAGTATCTTGCGAGGAAAGGATGAAAAATCTGGTATACGTTATTGAAACATTGCTAAATCTTTGTACTAACATCAAGTTTAGGTTTACTTGACCAAGGTGCTACAGTAGTAATAAAGTTCATCAAAGCTGGAATATTACCAAGAAATCTCTTCCTTAAATTTCCAATCAGGAAGCCTAGGAATCAGTGCTTTGATCTCTCTCTCCTTCCTGTCTTCCAGGACACTGGGTCCTGGAGGTAATTACATTCCCATTGTTCCAGTCATCCAAGACAAATACATCTATGTGTCTATTGTACAGATGGTACAGAATTTCTTATTAAAATACTTTTTCTACAAACAGTAAATAAAAAAAAACCTGACGTAAATCCATGACCTATATTTATTTGGAAATACAAAACACAGATATAAAGCACCACCCCCTATAGCTTGATCATGTACCAAACCTCTGATCTGCATGTCAGATAACTACAGACACACTTGTTCAGAAGATCCATGGGACAAAAATTCAAGCACTGGGTGTATGAAGTGATTTGGTTACAGGTTCCTAAACTTAAATATTGTTCCTGTAACAGAGTATGATATTAGACACAATCAAATTCTTAACTAAGAAAAGACAGCTTGTTGCTAGGAAAGTATCATTGTGCATTGTTAGCACTTTTTTTTAACCTCTTTTTTTTTTCCCCAACTACCATTTCTTTAAGGTACTACACTGGCAGCCCTGAACACCAAGGAGATTTATGAATGGGGAGAAGAGGAATGATAGAACAGTTCAATTTCTACACACCATTCATAAAAAACACAGGTCACTGCCACAATAATAATGTAAAATCCTTTTCACAAACTTTTTGATTTATCCCTTAGAAGGAGCTTATTTTCAGTTAAAATTCTTTGCTAGTCAATAAAGACAATTAGTGTCAGAACTATAACAACTTTTAAACATGTCAGAGGGAAAACAAACAAACAAACAAAAAACCCCAAAAGAATTTGGCATTAACTAAGGGCTTCTAACTTGAATTCGTTGTGAGACAACCTACTTAAGTAGTTTCCCATTTGTACAAGAATTTTTAGGGACGGCCTTCAGCTCAAAAATAAACTGCAACGAAGTATTTTAAAAATAAAAGCACTGACGAATGTTGTTGAACAATACTGCAGACTTTTTTGCTCATAAATTAATATAATATATATGTTCCTTAGAGTTTATTTTAAATATTCCAAAACATTTATCAAAATTGGAAACACAAGATCAAGATGAATTAAAAAGGGAACTTAAGCATTTCAAGTGTGGAGAAATAAAGCATAAGTTATGAGTATATGTCACTATGACAAAAAATTATGTGATATTACTTATGAAAACATCTTACTCCTTATGTTTTTTCTTCTTTGTTTCACTGGATGAATCATCTGCAGAATCTTCACTACTTGATGAGTCCTGCAGGTGAAGAAAAAACCACAACAAGTCATTATCACAAGAACAATTAAGCACTTCTAACATTAAAAAGATAAATCAGCTCCCACTTTCAAATTGGAGGCATGTTATTCATGCCTCCCTCTTCATCCCCTGCAGTGTAGCTGTTAATGCAGAATGAGGTAAGGACTGCTGTTGGTTTTGTATTTATCCATCTATGAATACATTGTGCCAGCACAGCTCTAGAAAACATAACGAAAAAACCCATCTTAAAAAATAAGCTATTGTGCCTACATAAAAAGTGTCATGGTTTAAGCTGCCCCAAATTAATCAAGATGATGGTTCTATCAAACTCCTAATAAAATCTCCTACCCTCAAGAGCTTTCTCATCTTCCATATTCTTTCACATTTAAACACCAGTTTAAGAAAATTTTAAGAGTAGCATGTTTCTTAAAGAAGAGAAACACAAACCCTCTTAAAATTAGATTTTTCCTAAAACCAATCTCATCAGGATTAAGTTTGGATTAAGTTTTATCCTGAAAAGCATCCTTCAGGAAGAGCATACTTAACAACAGCTGTAAATTAATGTTTTAATGACAGGTGATTAAGTTCTGTGTTTAAGTTTTAATGATGAGCTGTTAAACCAGAAATCCAACCAAATGAGCATGACTACACTGCACAGCTTTTATAATGATGGAGAAAAAAAAGTCTGCTTTATAAATAAATTCCATTTCATAGTCACTAGATGTGCCTACTGCACAAAGCCAACATTTCCTTAGCCGATAATTTAGGTTTTAGAATACCTAGAATACAAGTGTCGTTCTTAAAATACAAGAACTCTTTTATAGTAACTGTTACAAAATTTGCAAGAATGTAGTTTTCTGCTCCATACAGAATTTTTTTAAACCACAGCAGCTATCTTTATACAGAAAGAAGTAGAAAAGAATCTTTTATCATTTTAACTGTCTTTACAAAACTCAAGAAGCCAAAAATACAATGGAAGACAGTACTAGGTGGCTTGAAAATTTTGTCTGTACGTCACAGAGTATCTACCTAAAAACACCACATAATCAAGGCTGCTATAAATCTAGCACAACTCACTTGAAAACAAGAAACTAGAAATATTTTTACTTTGTGTTATAAAAATGTCAGTTATTGCAACGTTACTTTTATAGACTAAAACTAGACTTTTACACACACTTAAAGAATATAACTTGGCTCTACGTAATTTTATTCTAACATATGAGACAATGAAACAGGCATGTTTACATTTTAAACATCTAAATTATGTTATTTACCTCTTCTGAACCACTGTCTGATGAGGCTGCCTGTTGTTGTTGCTGTTGTTTCTTGAGCACTGCTGATCTTTGCACAGCAAGTATACTTGGACTAGACTTCCAAAACTGAACAGGAATGGAGATGCAAGAGTCAGTTAAACATACTGAAAGTCTCCAGTTTACCACATATTTATTTTTCCTGTGTAGCATCACTATTAAGACTGATCTTAAATTTAATCAATTTAAAAAAATCACCACAAAATACTGCATGCACTAATAACATTAGATAGCTTTGTAAAGTAGTAAGATTGCTACAGAACAGACTGTTATATAGTAATTGCCAAGATAATTTCTACAGCATGTGTAACGATAGTTGTGTAGGTATTGTTAAGGTAAAACATTTTATAAAGTACATTTTGAAACTGACACAGATATATCCTTTCAGACCACTCAGCTGATATGTTTTTACTTCATACAGTAATACAGATATACATGAACAAAAATAACAGAGAATCCTTAACAGTCTTCAATTCTTGTGATAACTAATACACAACTACCTTTCCTATATATGGTCTGCCACCCAAATTAAGTCCATATAACACAGGAGAGTACGGATAATTTTCACCCACTGAATTTAAGATATTTCTAAACACTACTTTTCCCTGAATTTAGCTGACTTATTGATAAAGAAAGCCAACTGTATTTAAGCTTGAAATTTTTGTACAATCATTTACTGATACAAGGAACATACTCATTAGAGAAACCATGTAAAAAACAGAATTTCAGAAACAACATTAAGTGTGCTTTTGCCTTCCATAAGTTCCACTAAATTAGTGTGTGCTTCTGCATGATGAAATTTAGGTAAGCATTTAACTTAAAATACTAACAAATGTGAGAATTTTCAAAGTATTAATTCAAGTGCTTATCCATGAAAACTAAGCCCAATGCTTAAGACAGCTAAGCACATGCATTCACTAACCCAACCAAATTAAAATCTAATTAAAAAAAATTCCTTACCTCTTTTTATTTTCTTAAATGAAAGCTGCTCTTGAAACTAACTGCACAGAATGATTTTTTAAATAATCCCCCCTCAAAGGGTTCATTTATATTTTTTACCTCAGATTCGTCAACTTTTGGTGGTTTAGCTTGAATCTGTTTCTTCTCTCTAGATGTGTCAGACTCTGATTCTGACTGAGTGCCTGACTCTGAACCAGACTCAGAGTCACTGCTGCCTGACTGGCTGCTGCTTCCATCACTACTGCTTCCAGAGCTTGAATCAGATCCAGAACCTGATGCTGACCCGGAATCGTCATCTGATTGGCTGGAATGAGAAGTTAGTAGGATATTACACAATTGCCAAGGTAACAGGATTAAAAGAAAAAAGTTGCCTTAGCTTCACCTGTAAATCAATTAAGTTAGATCAGGCAAATGTATAGCATACAAATGGATACAGTCGATTAAATAAGTTGAGATGAATAAAGTTAAAAATAAACAAGAAATGAGAATTCAGAGTGTAATCAGATACTCTTTGTGAAGCCTAAAAAGAGCAAGGTGAAGCAAGAATACTCAAATTAATATGCAGGAGTCAACCAAAGGAAATAAAAGCCACACAAAGTTTTCACGCTCACCCTCCTCCAAAATCCTTGTTTAGCTCCAAAGCCCACATATACATACACACCTCTTAACAGTTAAGTCTACTCCACAAAGACCCATCCAACTAAAATATAAAAGATTGTTTTCAATCTTGACAGATCAGCAGTACTCCTTAAAAAAATTCAGAAGCATGTATCTCCAAAAAAAAAAAAAAAGCTATGCAGACCGTGTTTTCCTGTTAAAATAACAGCAGTAAAATTCCCTATGCAGACAACTCTGAATTTGTTACTGACAGTATGATTTGTGCCAAGGTGCCTTCCTTAACACATACTTGAGCTGCTAGATTATTCCACCTGTATATTCATTTTACACCAGATTTAGCATACTAAAAGCACAATATTTAAAGACACATATTTATTTTAGGACCACTCAACAACTTAGAAGCATTTGGTTTATTACAACTTCACAAAGTAGCCGAGTTAAAACTTTAATAAGATTCCTCATTAGATTAATACTACCATATTTCAAATACATTCTGAGGAAAAAAACAAACACTGGAATCATACCACCACAGAACTAAATAAGTCCAAGTTATGTATATGTTGACTGCAAACACTTAGAAACCAGAGTAAATATGAAGCCAGAATTGAAAATGAAAACCAAAAGCTGGTATCAAAACCTAGCTGATCTCTGCTAGCACAATTCATCTGACTGACATCTGGCTGGAAGGGGTGGGGAGGGAATGGGACAGAGAAGGCAGATTGATGATCCTCTGCCCTAGAATATACTTGCCAACATATTAAAATCACAAAACAAAGCAAAATCGCTCCTCTTTCGGTTTTTGCTAACACCAACAAAACCATATCAGTAATGAAGCTATTCATAAACAGGCTCCTGTAGACTGCACCTCAATCAGCCATCTGCATCTTTCAACTTTAAAAGAAAGAAACAGACCATGGAGAAGCTTCCTTGTTCTGAACGGGGAGATATGAAGAAACACACTGCTGTTGGGTTTCCTTGCACATGCCAAGACGAAAACTTGGCCAGGCTGCTCCCAAACTTTCTATGTCTGTCATCAAAGGCTTACTTCAAGCATGGTGCTATTACACCAACCTCACTCACCAAATAAAGCAGGGCAACCGCTACAGAATATGACCAGAGTTTAAACTGTGTACCAGAAATTGATGGCACTCCATGACGATCTTCTGAAGATATTTTAATTGCAATAGTATTCTTGTACGCAAATATTATCTTACCTTTAATGTTGGGTAATTCAGACCATTATAAAACGGCATTTCTCAGCATAGCTAAGTGCCATAAGTAAACGTCAGGGGGACTGTGGAAGTCAGTACTAAGAGAAACAGAAGAAAATTCAGCATGGAGAAACCTTGAGACACAAGTATCAGTCAGATAAGTTCTAGTCACAAAAAGCCACCAAAAATGTCTAAATCCTACATAACTTCAGAGGAGGGGAAGGGAATCAAATACTTCCATGTAGGACAAGGCTTGATTAAAGAGAGCAATAATAATGTGGATTACCAAGTCTAAAAAAAGATGCAAAACACTAAGCCATAAGGATGGTAATTAAATTAGGTTTCCATACAACAGTAAAATATTTCATACACACTAAAATAGTCCTAATATATTGATTCAATTGCACACAGAGCCAGAGGCAACCAAAACAAAGTACCTCTTTTCCAAGGTAGTTTGGGGAAACTAACACTGGAATAAGCTATCTTCTTCAAATAACTTGCCAACATTATGAGAAACATGTAAACCAGCTACAGGAGAGAATGGTGGAGAGACCAAGGGCAGGGAGGGGCAGGCTGAAGAAGAACAAAATTCCAGTTTACTTATTTAAGAAAGCAAAAATCATGTCAGTCAGCTTCACAGTTTATGGGAAATTTTAAGCAGTTTTATGTTCTTCAACACAGGAATTAAGTCCCAAGTTAAAAAACAAAGGCACTAAGGAAAATTTTAAAAAAGTCTAGTAGATAATGCGAGTTGCTCTGGGGCTGGATACCAACACCCCAACTAGTTCCAAATCTTTTTTCTTTATGAAGAGGTCAACTAGCTATCATCTAAGGTCTCTGTTAAGTAATGCCAACCCATCAACATATATGGATCATACAAAATTTAATATTCAGACAAAACACATAGATTATCTTGCCAACCAGCTCTCAAGAAAGCTGGAAGCCCCATTAGGCTTATGAGCAGGACCAGCAAAGTAAGAGGTACTTCATAAACCGTGCTTCTCAAAATAAATTGGCCTGATTTGGACAAAAGCAGACTAACACAACACAACTGTATAGCAACTAATAGTAACATCTGACAAGAGTAAAAATCTTGAAGTCAATATCCAACCGTGTTACTAATAAATGCAAGACTACAAAACAAACCTGCAGGTAGAAGTAAAAGGGATGGGGGAAGAAAGGAAGTTACAAAAACCAGTAAGAACTAATAATAACATTCACCACAACCGATTTAGGGCTGCCCTAATGATACCATGTATGAAGGACAAAGCAGGATTGCTACCGTAGACTAAACGGTAATTGGTACACAGAACAGAGAAAAACAAAAAAATAAAATTTAAAGGCCATAGGATCAATAACATCTTACTAAGCTTTCTTATCCTGCAGTGTTAGATCAGCACAAGGAAATGGGAAAAACCAAACTGGGTAGCAGCAAGTAATTTTAAACCTACGGAAACAGCAAGGACTTGCTAAAACATGTATCAAATCTTAAGATGCTATGGCAGTATTCATACATGCTTAAAAAGAGTTTGAAATTAACTAGTTAAAAAAAACACTGTAAAAGTTCATGGACAGAAAACTAGTCAATGTTGGGCAGAGCTTACTTCAGTTCTAATCATCCAAATTAATACAGATGTGTGAAACTACATTACAGTCTCTACCTGTATACCACCTTGTACACCGCGTACTCCCTCCCAGAACTCTTGATGCAACTACAGTGCATACAAAAAAATAGGGAAGACTAACAGATGTGACTTCATTTCTAGCAAATTGTGAAAAACTTTCCTGTTCACTGGCCACAGGACAAGTAACTGATAGGGTCTGAGGACTACCAATGCATGTTTATTTCACTGTGTCCTTTCACACAATGTTTCAACCTGAGCTTCAGCAGAACATTAACTTGGAGGCAAAACCTCTACAAAGACACTGCTGTAACCCAGAAACCTAAAGCTCTTGTGTCCAAATATGAGGTAGGAAATAGGGTAATACATGACTAAGTAATTGCACGTAAACACGTGCAATAAAGACACATTGCATATCATCGAGACAGTACTGAGCAGCACTGTGTGACATTTAATACCTATCATTCCCCAACAGCTCCAACAGTGCATACATAAAAGTACGCACCATACAGTAACAGCTACAGGTTAAGTGCTCAGTTCTCAGGATAAAAAATATTTTCAAAATTAGAGAGAAAACTGGTATTTTTCTTTTTATCACTTAAGTCACTGCAGTGAAAGATTCAAAAGAGAACATGTTTATAACAAGATCAAAATATCACATGGCAGACCGTGTGCTTTCTTTTCCTAATGTGTAACACTAATATATCATTTCAAACTATGATATTGATTTTTTATTTTTAAAAGGAAAAAACTTATTACTAGCTAATCCCAAGACATTTTACACTAACATAGGTGTCATCATGAGAAGGCTGAAGAACAAGAGACTTAGTTCAGCCATTCTCTCTATCAAAGTCACTGCCTCTGCTTTCACAGAAATCTTTTCTTAGAAAACTGGAAGAAAAAACCCAGAAACTCATTCCCTAACGAAACTACCTGGAAATGCTAATAATTAAAAGATAACCTTTTTGTATCAACACCAAAGACACACTCCCTGCCCCCCCCCCCCCCCCCCCCCCCCCGTTGCCTAACAGGACTAGCTACCTATTCATACAGAAATTGACTAGAAATTTTCAGCCTAAACCATTAATTATCTCTTAAGGTAAGTATCTACAAGGCAGACAGAAAGAACAGACTTAACTATTAACTGGGTTTTTTCTTGGTTTTATTAATCTCTCATGGGAGTTTTAGACCATCATCAGACCAGAACACCAACTTACCAGACCACCAATCAACTTCTGATACAAAGAAGCACCTTACATGTTTTTTAAATAGTAAGTCTAAGAAAGCAACAGCAATGAAGTAAAAACACAGACCTACCTAATATTTTCTAAAAATAAATAAATAAATAAATAAAAAAAAATCAATCAAGCTACTCAAAATATGCAAAGACTTGCTTGGCACAAAGGAAGAAGTGTTACGTAAAGAGGACAATAAAGAACTACCTTTCCTCTCACAACAAATGGGAAACTAAATGTTTCTGTGGCATCTTCTAGCCATGTCTCTTTAGCAGTGTCCATAATGAAAAAATGGGGTATTGAAAATTAAGTCTTATGAAAAACTAACATAGGAGTTGTTTTCAATTTCAACTTCTATTCAGCATAGATAGAAGCAGTTTGCTACACCATAAAATTTCCAAATCCAGAGACCAACCTTTTCTAGTGCTTTGCCTCTACAGATGTAAAATCACTGGGACATTACCTGTACTTGGCTTTTTATTTTTGTTTCGTATGTAGTGCTGACCTAGACAACATTTAACAAGTTATTACATCTCATTATCACAAGAGCAGGATGCAAAGTCACTCTGCCTCAGGACTTAACTGAGAAACATAGCTCTGAAAGCCAGCCTCCCTAGT